GTTTCTAACCATCCACAACAGCTTTGATTGGAATTTCATGTCTAGGGACAGGAGGGTGAGTGCTGGTATGAGCCTAAGCAGGAGTGCCACCACGCAGGTTCCCCACGTGGGTCAGGAGGAGTTGGTCAGAGTCTTCCACTTTGGAAAGCCTTGGATTCTTCAGTTTTGTTCTTTTCACGCCCCAAGTCTGCCAGAAGTTCTTTTCAGCATCTTTGTCTCTCAGGTGATCGTTTCAGAATTCACGCAGGCAACCCTGGCATTACACAAACTCCAGGTTCTGGGCTCATCTGCGAGTCTCCATCACCGTCTGGATCTTGACCTTATTATTTTTTTCCCCCATTGCTAGGTCTCTGATGCCTTCAGGCAAGGAATTCCAGGTTTGAGGTTGGGAGGGGCGGGGGGAATTGCACGGTACCTAATTAAGTTGCCATGCCTAAGACGAAGTCTCAGAGGGTCTAAGTAACTCAGACGGCTAATGAGAGGGGCCTCAACAACTTGACTTACACCCGTCTGATCCACACTCCTCTTTTTCTCTTAGTTCACATTGCCTGCCTACACTACACAGAAACAACGAGCCGTTGGGTAAGAGATGCATTGTATTCAGACTTTGACAAGATTTTTAAATTATCACTTTGCCTAGAAATGCAGAGAAGAGTAGAACTTTAGTAAGTTTGCTGGGACAAAGTATCTGAAATAGTAACAATCTTTTTAATATTTCTGGGCCTTTGAGCCTTGATGCTTTTCTGAGAGAAACCAATAATAGCTATCTCTGGCAATTTCTCTGTCTACACTTGAATGCATTCCTAAAGTCATGTAATATCAGAGCAAAGGAAAAATGTGTTCTCTATCAAGCAATTAGGACCCACCAGGATACCGTGGGTTAATAAGAAGGCAATGGAGTCAAATGAAACATATGGTCCATAAATCAATTCCCAACAGGTATTTATAGAAGTCTCCTGTATTACATGACACTGAAAAGACAAAGATAAATAGTGCCTGGTCCTTTTCCTGGAAAAGCTCAGTTTGAGATAAACAGATCAATGTAAAGTAATTTTTAAAAAAATCATAAGGATGGGTGTTGGCGAGCTGGGAGGTCACTAGGACACCTGTCTCCCATTTTGGAGTGTCTGAGTTCAAGTCCACACCTCTCTAGTTCTTCCCTTTTCCTGGGAGGCAGCAGACAATGAGCCCTGTCACCTATTTGAAGAATCTGGATTGAGTTCTTGGCTGCTAGCGTCAGCCTCAACCAGCTCCAACTATTGCAGGCGTTTATGGAATTAAACTGTTTTTGAGAGATTTCTGTCTTGGAGACATTCAAATAAATAAATGAATGAATAAGAAATGCAAAAGCTGTATAATACATTATTTATATCTTGAATTATCACATTTGACATTTACGGATGCCTTTCCTTCCTACTCCATCCCTAAATAAGAAGAAATTTTAAATAGTGGGTCTGGGTGTGGAGACCTTATTGCAATGAATTCAACTTGAAAGAAACCTCATTTCTTGTCTCACACAAAAGAAGAATTTGCATACAGAAAATTTCAGCACGAAGAGCAAGATTGATTTGACAGAGTGAGAGAGGGGTCTCCTGCCATAGTGACAGGAAGGGATACCACAGGAGGAAAGACCTGAGAGAATGGTGGAGCTGCCGTCTTTCACGCACCATCTCAGACACGAGGAGCAGAGTGTAGGAGAGAAAGGGGGTGGCTCGTCTGCAGTGGACAGCATGGTCTAGCACTTTGTTTAGAACCAAAAGACATCAGAAGCGTGTGACGGCTGGCTTCCTTCTCCCGTTCTGATGTTAGGCTGAAAACGCGTGCGCCGTCTCTGACAGTAACTCGGAGAGCGGGCTTGGTCTAGGCCATGCCTCCTTGCTTTCCTCATGACTCTGAGTGGTAGGAACTGTAATCCTGATTTTGTCCCTTTGCACTCCTTCAAGGGGACAGAGGGACAAAGTTAGGGGAATGTGCTCTTGAAAAGCTAAAACATGGGAGAAGCAAGATTTTACATTTAAAAAAAAAAGTGACTGCACCAGCAACCAGATGCCCTCACTACCTGTTAGTCCACCTGACTCCTCACACTCTAACATGTGGAGGGCAGTGAGGTGTCTTACAGCATATATATGGAAAAATCATCTCAAATTGTCTACCAGAACTTGGCAAGGCAATCAACAGGCATGCAAAATAAGGTCGGGGAAAGAATGGCTCTGGCGGGAAACGGGAAGGCTCGAAACACTAAAACTAAGGCTACATCCGCCCAGAGCGAGACTGGTGAGCAGTCAGCTCCGACATGGGGAGTTTTTACAACCTCAGCTCAATCAATTAAAAAGGCTCAAATAATGAATTAAACATTGATGGGAAAATATATAATCTTGCTAGTAATCAGATATGGTTATAATGAGATTCTATTTTAAGCTTATTTTTCATTTCTAACATCAATGTTCACAAGGGTTCTATGAGATGATCTGAGTCACATTTTCCACGGGAAATATGAAGTGCTATTTGGAAAGCAATATGACTGCAGAAAGAGAGAAGCCCTTAAAATATTCATAGTTTCTAACCTAAGAAAGAATATTGCAATATTCATATATTGTACATCATATGAGCTTTATTAGTCTGGCTTAGGTTTAGCTACATATAGCAGAAATCCTAAAATAACAATAGAAATGTGTCTGCAAGAGAGGCCACAAACTGTAATGATTTAGCTAGCCATTATCATCTAAAATAACAATGAGATATCTGTCATTAGGAAGGGAAGGGAAACTGGATGCTGGGCAGATAACTGGCCATCTTTGCTCCATTGGTTCTGGGAAGTAAACTTGAGTTTAAAAATAATTTGCCGAAGAAATTTGCAAGTTGTAAATCTTTCAGATTATAACATACAATAAGGAATGTTGTCTAATTTTAAATAATAGTTAATTGTGTCTATCATCAATTTTTTTAAAAAGTCATTTTGTAAAATTGATACCCTCAAGCATATAAAACGTTGAGTTTTATTTATACTTTTGTTTAACTTATTTTCTGTGATGAGATTTTCCACATAGTTTTAATTTGTGCTAAGAATATTGTAGACACTTTTTGGTAAGATTTATTTATTTTTATTGGAAAGCAGATAGATATACAGAGGGGAAGATCTTCCATCCGTTGATTCACCCCCAAGCGGCCTCAATGGCTGGAGCTGAACCAATCCAAAGCCAGGAGCCAGGACTACTTCTGGGTCTCCCATGCAGGTGCAGCATCCCAAAGTTTTGGGCCATCCTCAGCTGCTTTCCCAGGCCACAAACAGGGAGGTGGATGGGAAGCAAGGCCATCGGGATTAGAACCGGTACCCATATGGGATCCTGGCACATGCAAGGTGAGGACATTAACTGCTAGGCTACCATGCTGGGTCTGACACTAATTTTTTGAAACATTACAACTAATGATAAATTCATGTTACCATATTTGATAAACAAAAGGTTTCTCATGTTTTCCCAAGCAAAATAAATGCAAAAGGGGGAAAGTGGGCCTGGCATGATAGCCTAGTGGCTGAATCCCCACCTTGCATATGCCAGGATTCCATATGGACAACTGTTCAAATTCCAGTTCCTTCACTTGCCATCCAGCTCCCCGCCTGATGCCTGGAAAAGCATTTGTGGATGGCCCAAAGCCTTGGGACCCTATACACGTTTGGGAGACCCAATAAAATCTCCTGGCTCCTGGCTTTGGATTGACTCAGTTCTGACCATTGTGGCTACTTGGACAGTGAATCAGTGGAGGGAAAATCTTTCTCTATTCCCTTCTTTCTGTAGATCTGCCTCTCCAGTAAAAATAAATAAATCTTGAAAAAAAAAGGAGGAAAAGAGAAAGAAAGAAAGAGACTGGGGGAGGGAGATATGAAAGTGTTTTCAAATTTTAAGGAAAAAAATCCTATTAACTGTAAACTTGGCCAAGTAGGTGACCTTTAACTCAAGGTCATATCACCGTGGGTTTTTGTCTTCTACAAAACTCAGTGCCAGAAGGGGACCTGGCATGATCGTTCAAAGGCTAAATCATCATCTTGCAAATGCCAGGATCCCATCTGGATGCCAGTTTGTGTCTCACTGCTCCACTTCCCAGCCAGCTCCTTCTTTGTGGCCTGAGAAAGCAGTGAAAGATGGCCCAAAGCCTTGGGACCCTGCACCTGCATGGGAGACCTGGAAGAAGCTCTTGGCTCCTGCTTGGGGAGTGAACCAAGGGAGGGAAGAATTTCCTCTCTGTCTCTCCTTCTCTGCATAAATCTGGTCTGCCTTTCCAATAAAAATAAATAAATCTTAAGGGAACAAAAAGCTCATGGAGGCATATCACTGTTTAGTCATCACATCCACTAACATTTACTGAACATTAACTTGAACACAAAGCATTTTTATCTTTTATACTATCATCCAAATGATGCTCACAAGTTACTAATCCTGTTTAAGCACCAGACATGTTGTGTGAAAGGATGCTCTGTGACTTTCTCACTGTAAACTGAAATTCCAACCCAAGCATTGTGATGTCCAAAATAATATCTTGCCTGCTATGCATCTACAGAACGTCGAAAGGCAATGACTGATGGCACAAAGATGTCACCAATGACATGTATGGAGTTTAGAAAATATCTCTCCAATCCATGATTTCAGTTATTCTACTAAGTCTTCCTTTAAGTGACCAAGTCATTAATCATAGCTAATTAAATAATAGGAAATTACAGGAGATACAATTATTGGCAGGATATCAAACCACCCCAGATCTTAAAAGCAGCAACATTCAGGGGATAGAATGGAAGTAGAGAAGTAAAAATAATGGGTCCCCCTTAAGGACAAAAGCATTAAGTCCCAACAGGTTTTTAAGACACATGTTTAGGAGGAAGTCAAGCTAGCCTGTGAGGCCATGCGTAGCCTGTCGTCATCCATGGCTTAGCTGGCCCTCGGGAGGAGTTAGGTCAGAGTGCCGTGTCTGTCACTCTATCTCAGTCCTGTTTCATTTCTCTCTTTCAGCTGAAACTAAGATCTGCTTCAAATACTACCATGGTGTCAGTGGAGCCCTGCGAGCTACCACCCCCAGTGTCACGGTCAAAAACTCCGCGGCCCCTGTAAGTCCCACAGTCTTGTTTCTTCTTCTTTGGCCAAGTTAATTCTGGTGCTTCTTTATTTTCCTTTGCTGCTCTTCTGTACGTGCATGTATGTGCATGTGTGTGCTGCACATGACTGTGGAGCTATAGTGATGGATGTGTTACATGTAGAGAGACAGATACAGCTGGAAATGGTGAGAAAGATCAAGTAGGTCAGCCCTAGTGCTGGGCGGAGTACTTGTTTATTACAGAAATGTCTGGCCTAGCGTTTTTCATATGAATACGCTTAGCAGTTCAGAATAAATCTTTCTTGGCAATGTATTTTTCTTTCATTCCTCGGTTTTAAATATTTATATTCTTTTATGTCTTTATTTCTGTTGGGTTTATAAATAATTCATGAGATAAAACTGATTACCACCGATGGATCTTCATCATGGCAGTATGAAGCAGCGGGGCTTAATCCCTCACCCTTCCTTGCTTCCTTTCGTGTCCCACAGGAGGACACTGTGCCCAGAGAGCCAACATCATATACTTCAGGGCCAGCAATTAGGACGGTGTAGATCCAGGCCTTACACGCCATCCTTTGTCCCTTACCTTGTGACTTTGTTCAGTCCTACCGTAACAGATGGCATCATTTCTTAAACCACAGCCTGGCTTTTAGCTTTGTGACACTTTTTACTTTGTTATGAACACACCTGATTATGTCAAAATCCACCTGGAAGTGTCCTTGCTTTTCCTTTTCGTGGTAATTAAAAATAATCAACTTGGGGTGGGCTCAGCAGAACACCGTGAGGACAGTGCCCACGGGTGGAGATCAGAACAACTTCTATTTTCCCTGTGTTCAAATATACAAAGTGTTTGACATGAATTATGGAACAGCTCAGAAAGGACTTTGGCAGGCACACCTGGGCCATTTGGGGTTTCTTGATTGAAGATCCTGCGAAGTGGGAAAGTCAGCCACTCTGGAGGGCCTGGAGCCCGACTGCCTCCATCCTAATGGGTCCAGCGGTACTGGACTGCCCCGCTGGGCTGGCTCAGCCATAGGGGCAGCGAGAGGAGGGCACAGGCTGGAAGCAAGTTTGTCCTGTTTTCCTATACCCATTGTACAGATTGGAATGTGGTGGCCTGTCATTTATGTGAGCAAGATACGAATTTAAATGTAGAGTTCTCTGGAATTACCCTGAGTGTGAGTCCTCCCCTTGCAGGCCCACATTAATAAGCTATACTCAAAAGGAGTTCCCTCAAGAAGCCAAACAGGCCCTGATAATGCATCAGCTAACACTTAGGGCTGAGGGTAGGCTGCCTCAAGGCAGAAAAAAAAAAATTCAGAAAAACTAAACCGGAGTCCAGGCAGGCAAAGCTACAAGACACTGAACACCTGACCCGGAGGGAAGGGGCCAGGAAGCACAGTGAAGCGGAGTTGGGCGGAGGGAGGGAAGCATGCACTTGCAGCTCTGGCCTTCTTAAGGCACATCAGCAGTAAGGATGGGCCGTGCTCCTGGGCGGGCCTGGCCTGTTGGCCCAAGCCTGAGACAGGAGACAAGGCTTCCTCACTTGCCCAGATTAGGAGTGATAGGGTTTTTATCAGAAAGACATTTAATTGAAAGGAACTCCCTGGAGCACCTGGCTTCTCTGGACTCATCCTGCTGGAGACTTGAAAGTTTTTCTGCTTCTCCAAGCATGTATCGAGTGCCCTCTGTCATCATCATGATGTACATAAAAAGGAACATAAAACATGATGAACATAAAAAGGAACAAGACAGCACTACCCAGGAAGCAGCTTGAGTGGCACTGGGTTACTATCTGCATGCATCTCTTCTCCATGGCTTCTGAAACTGACGTCAGTGGCAGCAAGGTGCTTCAACCACAGGATTTGGCATAAATATTCAGAAGATTGCATTAGTTCTGTCTCAGTCATGACTTCATCTTTTTATCTCTTTAAAATTTGATTGGCAGAGAGAGGGAAGGAAGGAGAAAGAGAGAGAAAGAGGGAGAGAGAGAGCAAGAGAATGCTCCCTCCGTTAGTTTAGTCTTGTGGTACCTGAAAGAGCTTGGTCTGGACCAAGGAAGAAGCTGTGAGCTGAGAATACAATCCAGGTCCCCCCCATGAGTGTCCAGGTACTTGAGCCATCATTGATTGCTTTCTAGGTTCTGCACTGACAGGAGGCTGGTGTCAGGAACTCCAGCTGGGATTCAATCCCAGGTTCTACCATTTGGGACGTGAGCATCCTAACCAGGGGGCCCGCCCCTCGGCCCTGCTGTCATTATTCCCTGTTGCGCTACCACTGCTCAGAGTTAGAAATCAGAGTGCTTGGCCATTCAGCTTCTTTTGATGTAATGGCCATTTCCTGCATAATTCTCTTAGCCACCTGTATGGACATGTAAATGTATGTCCCACAGACAGATTTAACTTCTTTTTTTAATCACTGACTGTGTGAGAGATGATGCTAGGGACATGGAGAGGAATCCTGGGCTCCTGCAGCCACTTGGGAAATGAGCACTTGGAGAGCCACAGTGGAAGGGAGCCTGTGCCCTCCCATGGGAGAGCACCTGTACTGGTGGTGGTTAGTTTCTGCGTAGTTATACTGCCAGGGTTGCACTGGTAGTGGCCTCTGGTGTTCGGACAGCATGGAGTGCTTTTCAAAGCAGTTTTCTTTACCGTTGCCTTAGTCAAAGACAGGAAGACAGGAAGAATATTTTGGTGGATTGACTGACGTTATGGTAACGGAGCAGAACATACCTGCCTTATCTTACTGTTGAAACTCATTTTAGTTATTAGTACAACTCAGTAGCCTTCTGGGTTAAATGAACTTTTGAAGTGGGAGACTTGCCCACACTGTTTCTAAGAAGGTGTGCTGGGAGGCTCCTAAAATCAGTTCACCTATAAACCTTGAATATCCAGGATTGTAGGTGCTACACCTGGTCTTCTATGACCTGTTACCCTTTATGGCTACCCTATCACATCCCCATTGTCACAGGAACCTGTAATTCTTTGCAAGGGAGGACCAAGATGTCAAATGTTCCTGTAGGGTAACCAGGCTGGAATGTTCTAAGTGGAGCAAGTTGTCAGTGTGTATCAGTACTGCTTCTCATGTCTTTACTCCCCCTTACATTTGTCTTTGGCCCATTGTCAGTTTGGAGGCCCTTGCTATGAACATTTTGTCATCTATTTATTTTAGTTTTAGAGTTTTAGTTTTAGTTTTAGTTTTAGTTTTAGTTTTAGTTTTAGATTCCTCCATCTTGTTTCGTAATGAGGGGCTGTGATGGACAGGGGTAGTAAAGATAAGTGAAGTACATGCCCTGTCCTTGGGAACTCCTGCACCACAGCCATATCTAAATCACCGGTACAGGAGTGTGAAAACTTTTCTTTCGGGAAGAGGTAAGGCTCCTGCAGCAACTGTGCTGGCTTTTGAAGGAGGTCACATGAATGGGGGCTTTTCCTGGCCTGGAGCACAGGTAAGGCTGGACTGACGGACTGGGAGCACAGACAAAGGCATGAGGATATGAAATGGCACCTGCCGAGAGCAGAAGGACATTGAAGTTGTGTGAGACCTGAAGACCATGGGGCTTACTTGTGTGTCTGCACATATCCCTCTGTACTCGACTGTTAGTCTTTTTTGCCTCTTTTTTGGGGGGTTCCTGTCATATGTTTCATGCCTTAATTAAGGCAGGGCCTTATTTGGGACCCTCCGTGTTGGAGTTGAGGTCCCCTGGCTTGAACAGGCAGACCAGGTATACTCTAAGAGAGCATTTCTTACTGAGGTCTCCATCAACATTAGTGTCTGTGGCAATTCCACATCTGTAATTCTGCCTTTCAAATAAAAATAAAAACAATTTTAAATAAATCAATAAAGCAACTCAATAGGACAGCCCCTGGAAATCTAAGTGAATATTTGAAGGCAGGCTCACCACTTTCCTCTACAACGACTATGGATTTCCTGTGATGGACAAATAGATAATACAAACCTTCAAGATTCTAAGTCACTAAGTGTGCTTGCAGTAATATTTGTCTTGGGAGCTCTAAAAATAGATGTCCAAAAATATTTTGAGTCATAATACAGCCATAATGGACTGGCTCCTCTCAGATTACGAACCTTCCTGAAATTACTGCAGCCAAATCAGTTGCAAAATCAATCCATAGGCAGCTTACTGATGTGACCGGTCATGACTAGAGCTGGCTTATGTCTAGGGTGATTTAGACATAGTTGATTCATTTGGAAGAGATCTTAGTTTTGTAGTATGCACCCTTGCATTCTGCAGAGCTTAAATGCCAAGATCCACTGCTTTTTTGAGCCTCTCCTGGCCAGCATCACAGTAGATTAGTAATATCGGGGTGACTGTCTCCTGAGCTGCTAAAGGATCCCCTTCATTCTGTGTGTCCACACGAAGTCTCCATTTGGTCCTATAAATGGGGCAAGGCTCGGTAGCAGCAACTGAGTGGGGATGGTGGGACTGACACGTAGCCGGAGCTGCTGTGGAGGCCCCATTCGGAGAGCTCCTGGAGACAGCAGGGAGCAGGCCTATTCATCCACTCACCAGAGGAGCCCTAAAGTAGATCTTTGGATAGCAGGTGTACCAAAGGTGCTAGTTTCCCCAAATTGTAGTCTTCTGTTATCTGTACGGCTTGACTGGTTACCACTAAACAAAGGAGGTAGGAAAAGTTAAAGCCGTTTCCAACCTGGACACAATGGGGCCTCCTGGAGATTGAGCAAGAGTTCATCCTTCCTGATGTCACCAAGTTCGTGCCACTACCATCATACTTAACACTTGCCCTTAGCTCTAGTCCTAAGCCTGGAGACTTGGCCTCACGAGAATTTGGGGAAGATGACACGACAGAGTTTTTGGCTTGGACTTTATAGTAGCGACTGTGTTTTCCCATTGCCTCACTAATACAACCATCATCTATTTTTGCAATGTATCAAAAAGTGCTTACTTAACATGATCCTAAAAGAAACCCTATCAACAGTCCTATAAGACAAAAATTTAAGACTTAATTCTGAATGTTCAAGCACCTGTTTTCT